TCTGAAATATGTACTTTATGTTATTTTGAGCCTAAAACTATATAAAAAAACGAAGTTACTCGAGCTCAGCTAGACAAAAGATCACCTAAGATCCGTTCGAAAGTTTAAGAATCCAAGTTTGAATAATTTTAAAATTCATTAAAATTTTTAATACAGACTAAAACAATTAATTATTTGAATCATTTCGACTCATTTATCACCTCGAACAGCAAACTCTTATTCGCCGCCATGAATTGTACTGAAAATGCAAAGCCTGGGAAGCTATTTGGACTTTGAGAAATGACTGGGCCCGCCCAAATTGTTATAGACATGCAATCACTTCTTTAGACCCACACAAAATATGGAAGAGATCCCAAATCTACTTGGGCTAGCGGCCCATGACTAGTTGCTCATTTTGATTTATGCTATGTTTGGATTTGCATTTGAGAAGGCATTTACAGGAAGAGAGAGAGAGAGAGAGAGAGAGAGAAAATAAAAAAGGTAGAACGGAAAACAAGACAAGCCGAGCTAAGTCAAATAGTAGATTGCTCGAGTTTGATATAAAAATTTAATAATTTTTAAAATATGACCAAGTTTGTCTTATTTACATAACGAGTTTTAACAAGTTAAACACAAAAATATATAAATTTATCAAGTCGAGTAATAAGTTGTTTAAGCTTGGATTGATACTTAGGTGGTGTTTGGCAAGTGGGTTGGGGCTAAAATAGCCACAAAAGACAAAACAGGCTATTTTAGCCACAACAAACAAAACATCACATCCAACCCATAATCATTACACTCTTCTCTCACAAAAAAAAGCCAAAAAGTCAAAAAGCCAAAAAGCCCTTCCCAAACCAAGCTTTTTAGCCCAGGCCAAAATAGCCAAAAAGCCAACCCACTTCCCAAACGGAGGCTTAATAAGTTTAAAATTATGTTTAAACTTAACTTGTTTACATATCTAATCGATCTTGGACAAATTTTTTAATTAATCGAATACGAATAACATGATTCATTTAACAGATCTAAAAACTGGTGCAAGAAATTTGTGTATATAATATGCATGACTGATAAAAGGAAGCCGCACGATCAGCTAAGTAATTTTTACATTTGAATTTTTTTTTTTTTTTTTTTTTGGTGTCAAATTTTCTTCTTAAATTTATGATTTAAATAAATTCTTAAAATTTATTTATTTATATAATAATGTGTCTCACTCTCATGGTGCTTTATGAGTAGATGAGATTGGGTGAGAGGTTAACTACTCGTGACCTAATTCTGCTGGAACACGCAATTAAAGTGCACTTAAACATACAATAATGATGTTCCCCTTTATAACCAAAAAAATAAAAAAATAAAAAAATAATTATTGTGGAAGTTTTTTAACTTTTCAGTTTTTTTTATCCACTAACATACGTCCTTGAGACCTATCATTTTCAAAAGATATTGTACATTATTTACTACATACATATTCTTTTTAGATGTCAGCTTGTTTGGTTTTGATTTTTAAAAAAATTTATTTTTTGTATTTTAATATTTTCAACGAATTTTTTTTAATATTTTAAGTATTTTTTTAATTTTTAGACATACTTAACATAAATATACTTAAAAAATATAATATTTGTAAAAAAAAATTTAAAAATACCCTAAATACCAAAAAATACCAAAAAAAATACAAAAATCCAGTATAATTTTGTATTTTTGTGTGTTTATTAATTTTTTAAAATATTTTTTCACAAATATTTTACTATTTAAATACATTTAAGTAAGGTACATCTAAAAAAGTAAAAAAAATTGTTTAAAATTTTAAAAATATTCACTAAAAATAAAAAATAAAATACAAAATATAAAAAAAAATTAATTTTTAAAAAATTAAATTCCGAAAATTAAAACCAAACCCACAAATTATTTTTTAACTTTTGTTTTCAGGACACGGTTAATCATACAATTTATTTGTTTACTTTTCTAAGAGATATTTTAGGTTTTCTTTTGTGGACAAGGTTCTATTTAAAAGTGAGCATCGGGTTGTGTTCATGGCATTATTTTCGGTTCATCTTAGATTTATTTTAATATTAATCCAATTCATTTATTATTTATTGTATTAAGTTATTTTTTATCCGTACCTAATCTGTGTGATGTCAACGGAGATGGGGTGGCTATTGCTATTGGGCAGTTAATCGGGCCTATTTCAGCCTCTATTTTAATAATTTGAATTGTTCACTTTTTAAGGTACATTGAGTAAAACATATTTACAAAAGATTAAATCGATTAGATATCAGTAATCATTTCATTGAAATGCAAGTAGAATATATTTATAAAAAATCATATTGACCTGATATAGATAACTTCTTTATCAAAAGTGTATTTGTATCTAAAAAAATGAATAACAAATGTGACTTGAAACAATTTAAATTGTGTTATCCTGTCGTATTGAATTATACTGGGGGTGTTTGGTGGAGTTTTTTTAAGCCAACTTATGACTTCTGGCTTTTAAAAAGTTATTTTGGACTGTTTGGTTAAACTTATTTCTAACAGCTTCTGATTCTAACAACTTATTTTAAGTCAAAAAAGTTGATTCTGAGAAGCTACTCACCCCTTACTTCTGATTATCAGCTTCTGCTGTGGACATGTTAATTCACGGTTATACTCTTAGATTTTTTTATTTTTTATTTTTTTAAAAATAGAAAAAGACCAAAATGGACTATTAAATATTATTATTATTTTTTATGAAAAATGTAGGCAAATAGTGAATAATAAAAAATAAAAATTAATTGAAAAAGCTACTTCACAGCTTATTTAACAAACGCTACTCAGCAACTTAAATCTATAATCCAATAGCTATACCAAACAGATTAACAGCTTCTGATTAAAGTCATAATCTATAATCTGTTAAGTTATAATCTATAATCTGTTTTAACAGTTACACCAAACAGCACCACCGTAACCATGGTCCATATACTCATGACAGGTATTGTTTGTGAAAATTGTAAAACAATTACTTGATTGGGAAAATATTATGGTGGATACTCTTGTGCGCCACATATATCTTATAATTAAAAAAGAAAAATTAATTTTCTAAATCATAATTAAAAAAAATATATCATAACTAAATACAATATGAGGTATAATTAAAAAATTTATGAGTTATAACTAAAATAATGTCATAATTAAAGAAGAAAATTAATCCTAATTACATAAAAAAAATAATATAATTAGATGTGCATATGATACACCTTTTTTAAAAAAGCTGTATATTAGAATTTCTCACTTGATTAATGTCATTGTAGGAATACTAATATAAAAACTAATAATTTAATTTAAAAAATTTAGTTATATAATTTTGTATAAAAACATTGTATGGTCCAAATATTTCAAAAGAGATTTAATAAATTAAATTCTTTGAATCAAACTAAATTATATCTAAAAAAAAATTATAAAATGGGGGATGAACACTCCTTTGTATCTTTTCATATGTCTTCATGTCCTTTTTGTGGATTCCAACCCGAACACATACAGACGATTTGAATAGTTTACATCGTAAGTCTCGCGGTAAAAATTGTAAATGTAGGCACTTTTTCGAAGTGGATTATAATTTATTTTTCAGACAATAACTCACTTCTTGTTTTATAAAAAAATTATTTATAAGTCATTTTTAATAAAAAAAAAGTTGATTATAACTATTTTTTCAAAATAGCCCGTAAAAAATTATCTTCATTAGACAATTATAAATATAAGAATAAATTACATTTTATTTTATAAAATTGATGTTTTAAGTTTATAATCATATTTGTTGTTCATTTTATAAAATAAAATGTAATTTGTTCCTATGTTATAGATGTCCAACAAGCTAGATTTTTGCATGATAATCTTTACTGCAAAACCTTTGGTGGTGTTTGGCAAGTGGGTTGGGGCTAAAATAGCCACAAAAGACAAAACAGGCTATTTTAGCCACAACAAACAAAACATCACATCCAACCCATAATCATTACACTCTTCTCTCACAAAAAAAAGCCAAAAAGTCAAAAAGCCCTTCCCAAACCAAGCTTTTTAGCCCAGGCTAAAATAGCCAAAAAAGCCAAAAAGCCAAAAAGCCAACCCACTTCCCAAACGGAGGCAAAATAATCAATGTAGGTTTGAATTTGAGCCCACAAGAGTAATATGAAAGGATATAGAGAGATGCATGCATGGAGGGTAGGTCTACCAATTAGTTCTATTAACTAGCTTTATTTATCTATAAGTGCTGACTGATAAATTTAGTATTATTAATTTATTCATAAAAATAAGAGATACTGATAAATTTATCAATAAGACTTAACGGGTAATAAATCTTAAAAGTAGGATTTATTGATAAGGAGAATTTTTTTAGAGTCCCTAATATTTAGATTTTATAAAATAAATAATATATAATATTTTCATAATAGTTAAGGTTCCTCAACATTTTTATAAAGAAAAAAAAAAATTTTTTGAACAATTTATAAAGTAGATTAGAATAAAGAAGATTAGACTCAGAAAAATTTTGAAATTTTTTGGTATAATCACAAAGAAATTTCATCAAGAAACCTTAACTAGTAAAATAAAAATTTAAATCTCTCTTATTATACAAAATTAAAAAGTGATATTTCATTATTTTTTTTTATTCATAATTTACCCTAACCTTAGAGGTGTTTTTATTTTTATTTTTTTAACAAACAAACAATCGATAACAAAGTATGTGCCGCACACTACTTGACGGAGTCAAAAACAATTACTATTTTAGTAGGTTATTTTAGTTTTTGACTATTTTAAGAGGTTAAAATTTTTATATTTGGAAAGATAGTTAAATTTTTTTTTTTAATTAGATGTGATATTTGTGAAAAAAATAAAATAATTATAAATTTAATATGACATTTTATTTTATTAATTATTTTAACTTATTTTATTTTTTAATTATTTTAACTTATTTTATTTTTTAATACTATTTTACCAAAAAAGAAAAAACTTTAAAACAAAAACTCATCCCAAACGAGTTAACAAATAGAAATAACAGGTATAAATAAATGTATTAATTATTAGTTCTATTGAATGCATTGAGGTTCGATCAGAGAGACCCTCTTCTGCTCAGACATGCCTCCAGCTGAGACCTTGCCACCCTGAAACAAATATGGTTAAATCAACCATCAAGAATCTCAGAAACCCCACTCTGTTCAGGTATTCTTCTTCCAAACCTTCATCGACCCTTTTTGCAAAATCACAAATCTTGGAAACCCAGATGATTATATCTGTTAATATATGTGTGTGTGTGTGTGTGTGTGTGTGTGTGTGTGTTCTTGCTCTTGTTCATTTGTTTCTATCTTCTTGAATTTTTCTTGTAGCTCAATATTGAAAAAAAATCCCAAACATGTTCTTTAAAAAGTTGTTTTTATGAGTGTTCTTCTATCCGTTTCTGAATGCAGGGTGATGATGGTTTTGTAAGATAACATGTTGTAAGATTTACATTTTTGGAGATATAATATTTAAACCCCCTTTTAGGGTTTAAAGGCAGAAAACTGACTTTTACCTTTCTCTGAGAATCTGTTTTTCCCTCATGAAACTGTTCATGTTAATAATTAGGAGTTGGAAGCCCATTTTTTCAGTGATTACTCACTGAATTGATGCTAAAATCCTAGAGCCCTTTGTTCCTCATGCCAAAAATATTCTTGCATTTTGCTTGTTTCAGAGTAACATCTCTTGCAGGTTTCCTAAAATCTTGTCAAAATATAATAGGTTTTTAATTTCTTTCATTATCTTCAATGTCAGAAAAGAGCCAGCTTCCCTCGAGGCTCTTTCTCTGCTTAATAACCATTTCAATCGCTCTTTTGATCACCTCTTCATTATTCCTTCTTCAATTCAGTGACAATTCTTTCAGACCCACCTCAGTTCTTAAGCTAATTCTTGTGAATAACACATCAGATTACTTCCAACCTAGTGTTGGCAGTGAAAAAGTCGAAGCTCCTTTCACCCCTTCTGTGGCTTCCCCAATCTATAGTAACCCACCTGTGAGAATCAAAGAGGTGCCTTGTCCGAGTTCTGAACCCAGCAACAAATTGAGTGCTGTAGGACTAGAAAAAGAGAAGATTTGTGATACAAATCATGCTGTCCTTCAGGTGTATATGTATGACTTGCCTCTTGAATTTCACTTTGGGTTATTGGGTTGGAAAGGAAATTCAGATCAAACATGGCCAGATGTTGGTAACCCTAGTCGAATCCCTTCATACCCGGGAGGCTTAAATTTACAACACAGTATGGAGTACTGGCTCACCCTTGATCTTCTATCATCGAATGTTCCAAATATGGTCAGACCATGCAGTGCTATCAGAGTGCATAATGCAAGCCAAGCAGATATAATCTTTGTGCCCTTTTTCTCATCTCTGAGTTACAATAGGCATTCTAAGCTACATGGAAAGGAGAGAGTTAGCGTCAACAGAATGTTGCAGAATAAATTAGTGGAGTTTTTGAAGGGTCGGAATGAATGGAAGCGTTTGGGTGGGAAGGATCATCTGATAGTAGCACACCATCCTAATAGCATGTTGGTTGCCCGAAAGAAGCTTGCTTCTGCCATGTTTGTTCTTGCAGATTTCGGGAGATACTTGGTGGCAATAGCAAACCTTCAAAAGGATGTGATCGCTCCGTACAAGCATCTTGTGAAGACCATTCCTTCTGACAAGTCAACCCCATTTGAAGGGCGTCCTATATTGGTGTATTTTCAAGGAGCCATTTATAGGAAAGATGTAAGTTGTATCCCCTCATTCTGCTTGAGTCATGAATTACTACACTATTGAGTCTTTGTCAATCACATTCTATTTATACTTTCTCTTCATAAGACAGCGTTCTACTAGAGCTAATTTGTTTTGTTTTGTATATTTGGCCAATTGGAATTCCGATGATACAATGATATGTTACGATGAGACAAGTACAGATTTTCCAGTCTTCAAATTCTGTGGCAGTAATTGTTTTATTATGTTACAATGTGCTAGGTTCCATTCCAGCTTTTATAAATGGGATAGTCTGTGAAATCTTCTAAAACGTCCATTCAATGATTCAAATATCATGAGTAGATAAGGATATTCCAATTTTTTTTCCCTGAGTCATTGAAGTTACAAATTCATCACTGTACTTGAGAGTGGATGAAAAACATGATAAATCAATTTCAAAACTTGAAAACAGAAGGAATCTCGTAGATATACATGCAATCACTTCAGTTCTATTTAACTTTTTTCTGCCCTCTTTGCTTGAAGCAATAGGTTTTACAACTAGGCTGCTCTTTTAGCACATAGCCCCTCTCTCCCTCTTTTTTCTTTTTTCTTTTTCCTTTTTTCTTTAAATAAAAAAAGTTGTTGAAATAAGATATAGGGGAAATACTTAATGTTTAACTTTGCCTAATTTAATCATTCTAATTGTCATGTATGAAATATCCTTAGGGGGGAGCAACCCGTCATGAACTGTATTACCTTCTCAAAGATGAGAAAGATGTCCACTTCACATTTGGAAGTGTTCAAACAAATGGAATCAATCAGGCAGGACAAGGGATGGGCTCTTCCAAATTCTGCCTGAACATTGCCGGGGACACACCTTCCTCAAATCGCCTCTTTGATGCCATTGCTAGCCATTGTGTTCCTGTAATAATTAGTGATGAAATTGAGCTACCATTTGAGGATGTCTTGGACTACTCTGAATTCTGCATATTTATACGTGCATCAGACGCTGTGAAGAAAGGGTTTTTATTGAATCTTCTAAGGGAAATTAATCAAGACCAGTGGACCAAAATGTGGGAAAGATTGAAGCAGATTGCTCTACACTTTGAATATCAGTATCCATCTCAGCCCGGTGATGCAGTGGATATGATTTGGCAGGCAATTTCACGTAAGAAATCATCGATACGATTTAAGGGTCATAGGAACAACAGATACCGCAGATCTCAGAATCTTGTTAAGATTACATAAATACCCATTTGGAATATTGGAAAATTTCTTGGCTTTTGAGTTTGGTGAAGATCATCGGATATCTGGCTACATTATGGGTTCTTCAAAATAATGTAAGCTTAGTTTTGTTAAGAATATGTATGCTTTTGTTTCTGTCTACTTTTTCATGTCTCGTGTTGTTTCAATTTCAATTTTTGTGCAGTTCATACTCGATTATGGTTTCAAAGAATTCTGTTAAATAGTAGTTCAGTCTATTCGAGTAGGATGGAGCTAGAGGGGGGCAAGGGGCGGCAATTGCTCCCTACCCATTCATTACACTACTTTTAGCTATTAATTATCTTCAAATTATAGAGACTCACCCCCTCTAGTTTTGTTAAAAAAAAAAAAAAGAATTAAATGGCTGCACGACTTGCACCTCTATATCTATGAAATAAGGGGGTGAGAGTGTAAAATTTAACAATTTAAAATATATATATATATATATATAACAAAGAGTATCAGTTTGATGACAAGCCTTAACTATAGAGAATTGAATAAAGTAGAGGAATCCTCAAGTTACTTGAACATATTCATTGAGAAAGATATTATTTGAGGTTTTAATAGTTATTTTATTATAGATGCCTTCAATAACATAAAGGAGCATCGAACATAACTTGAGATGTTTCATTTTAGTAGATAGATTGTCTTACAATTGTTATCTTTTATAACTCAACGTGAATATTAGAAAACATGTTTATTTATATTTGTTTTTTTATGTAATTTTTCACTTTTTCTATCGGTAGAAATTGATGTTGTAGTCTATGTACTTCATTTTTTCAAAATTTTTGTTAGTATTTTATGTTCGTCTCCCTTATGTTAGAATCCTTAGTTCGTCCTCCCTTTATTACCAAGCTAATAACATGAACCTAACACACTCCACATGAATGAATATAAAGAAAATTAAAATTTTCATCCAAATAAAGCAAACCTGCAATCACATAATATAGGAATTGAAGATAAATTTTACAAACTATACATCAACCCAAGAATACATAAACAATGACAAGAAAACAAAAAATTGTGAATGTAAAAACATAGTGAAGCAAGATAGGAATCACTTTAAGTTAACCAGCTTTGATAAGTTCATATTCCAGTGTTAAAATATGCAAGAACATGTGTATCATATTTGTATAAATGTACTCTGTCACGTGTCTGTGCTTAGATATTTGTTTGTTTGTGTGTGTGTGTGTGTGTGTGTGTGTGAGAGAGAGAGAGAGAGAGAGAGAGGTAACAAAATATAAAATAATACATAGGCTTTCCAATATTTATAGGGGGGCAACAAAGGCTGATAGACATTCTCATGTTTCACTGTAAATATGCTAGTTCAAGAGTTTTCATTGCTAAATATATAAATCATTTGTTTACTGAAAGAACAATTGAAAACAAAATAAAAAGTAAAAGGCACCATGCGATGTTGTGTATAAGAACCATCAACCTTAGTAGAATTCACTGACAGTATTAGCTAAGATCTAAAATCTCTGTTTATACAATCTGAGAGACATTGCTTGCTCAAAGATAGCTTAACCTGCCACTCCTTTGGTTCTTTTTCAAACAAAACAAATGTAAGTATAGAAAACCAACCAACCCACTTTGAGAAACCGGCGAGGAAGCAGAAATAGTCACCACCACCCCCTCAAGTCTCTCTCTATCTGCATCAATGACAGCCATAACCCATATTCCATCTCTTCCTTTGCCAAGAAGTATTCTTACCTTCTGGCTCCATGGCAGAAAAAAACAGCTTCATCTCATCAACATCTGTTGTGAATGGGGTCTGATCCTCTTCGAACCCTTCTTTTACTCGATTGATTTGGATCAAACACCTTTGAAGGCGCTGGCGCTAGGCTTGGCGGTATTTGCATGACCTCCACCCCAACATCCTTGAGAACACGAGCACTTCGTAGAAACAGAGGTAGCCCTTTATCCCATCTGAGAGCAAGATCTATGCTTCTCAACCCAGAAACCCTCTCTGGTTGAATTGATAGAAACCCAATACAAACAAGAAATATGACCACTCTACAAGTAGGAAAAGGAAAACCCATGTTCTCTAGAATGCAAAAACAGAGGACAATGATGAGAGAATGAGTGGCTTGGTTGGGTTGGTCTCTCAGACTGTTTGTTAGCTTTTGATTCTTATATGGGTCTCTTAGCTATGGTATGGTTTTGCCTTTTTATGGGATTTGAAGAACCAAAAAGCAGAAAAGCATTGAGAGGGGTCCCAAGACAAGTAGGGAAGTTTCAGATTCACCTCTCTCAAATCTCTCATTCATGAGCATGGAATAGGAATAGAAGCAATAATACAAAGGCTGTTTTAGAAGACAGACAATACTGATAAGTTTGAATAAAAAGTTGGGGTTTGGAACAAACACAGTTGGGAAGCCAAGAATCTTTTCATGATTGGTTCCCTAATTCTCTATCATTTTCATTTGCATTGCATTTTTTTATTTTTTAACCAAACAATATTTGTTAGATGGCTTGGCTTAAACCTATTAGCTCAAACAAATTGTGCCTTTTTAGGCTCAATTTTGGATAAGAGAAAATCTTTATGAGAATGAGAATAAATTCTAGATTCTCATGATGATTCCATTGTTTAGAATGAATTGGAATTAGAAAATGATTTTCAATTGCTTACTTTCTCAAATTAAACAGAAATCTGTTACTCACACTCCCCTATATGATCTTTCATATTCTTGGAATGTGGAACATTTAGGTTATGTTTAAATCATGGATTTCGGTTAGGATTTAGAAAGAGAAAGGAAAAAAAGTATGTGAAATGTAGGTAAAATATAATTATATTTTATTCACATATCACTTTTTTTTTCTTTTTCTTTTTTAAATTTCTATCCAAATTCATAATTTAAATATAGCCTTAACATTATGTTTGGATAGCAAGAATGGAGAGGTGAAATGAGAATCTTATTCCAAGTCTTTTTCATTTCGTTGTTTTAGTATTCGATTACCAAAGCACAATGAGAATAAAACAAATAGATGGACTCACAAAATTTAAAATGATAGGATCTCTCACTAAACCAAACACTTGAATTATATTGACATAAAAATATTATGGGGAATTTATGGTCCAGTGGGGTTTAAAAATATATATATTTCACATACATGGAAAAATTTATAATATTAATTATTATTGTTTATAAAGTTGGTCATTAATCTGTAATTAATTTTAAAGAATTACATTGAGTTGTATTTTTCCCAAATATTATAACTAGTAACGGGATTACTACTAATACAATTCCTATTCCTACTTTCATTCCTATCATACAAATATAGCCCAAAGGTTTTTTTTTTTCTTTTAATTAAAAAAAAAAGGAAGTGGGAATTTTTTAAAAAAATGAGTGCCAATACAAGAATTTGAAAATGATAGAAGTACAAGTGATTCATTCATAAATTTATGAAAGAAAAATTAGCACTTTCATCATTTTAAAATTATTTTCCTGTTCTCCACTTTTTTGATATTTTTACTAAAAAAAATAAATGAATAAATGCGTGAATAGCATTGAAAACAGAAATTTTATTATTAATTGCTATAAGATTCCCGTTCTTTCTATTTACTTCATATCATTCAAATAGTCTTAAATCAAAATGAATTACCCATAAAGTTTGTCACATTATAAACACCTAGAGGGTTGTCACATCACATGTGCAATGCGTGTGATTTGTATCTAGGATATAGTTGTCCCACTTCTCTTTCACTTTTTTTTTTTTCCTCATTAACCGTTCCATTCTTTTCTGATTTTCAAATTTGTTCGTGTTCCTTGCTTGGTTACCAAGAAAATAGAGAACGTTGTAGAAAATTTTCAGAGTGCTAAAGATAAGGAATGGAGATGAATAATTTAAGTAAAGATAAATAGTGGGTTTTGCATGGCTTGAGTGATCGAATGAAAGCCAATGAGCCAACCAAAGCTGATCATAGATTGCTACAGTTGCAAGAAAGCCAGATAAAGTAGAAGAATGTTGGAAGATGAGGAATATAAACCCCTCTCTCTCTCTCTCTCTCTCTGTACCAAAGAAAAAACCAAGCACTTCTCTTTATGCTATGCTTAACTCTCTTTAGTATTCCAAGCTCTTCACTCCATGCAATAAAAATCACACCCTTGGTTTCTTGTGCTTATTGGATTTCCCTTTATGCTTTCCTCTCTCTCTCTCTCTCTCTCTCTCTCTCTCTCTCTCTCGATTGTGCAGACCATAAAAGCTTCCACTTAGAACCCCAATAGGTTACTCCATATATGGCCTTGTTTTGTCCCCTTCTGTACTTTTCATCCGCTATTATCTCTTCTTGTTTCATAAATTCATAAATAACTACAAATTTTGGTAAAGTACAGTTTTCTACTGTAGCTTTGAGAGTGATTTTTCCTTCTAATATCTTTATGGTGACTTGACATTATTTCGTGATCCAAATTGTAATCGAAGCAGTCTTGAGATGACATTATATATTAATATAAGATCTCAGATTTAAATCTATATAAAAATATTATTCTGCATAATAATCTAACAAAACCTTATCTCAAATTCTCGTTAATTTTTTGAAAGTGGTAATCTAGTGTTGAGAGAGCACTTATATGCCAGTGTGACATTTCAAGTATAGAAGAATTTAAATATGTAATAATCTAACAAAACATTATCTCAGAATTCTCGTTCGCTCTTTCAAAGGTAGTGAGCCCCGCTTTTTACCTTTCACCTAACTAATGAGGAGGTGAACAATGTTCACCTATTATCATCATTTTTTATAAGGGTAATACTAAGAATATTAAATTTTCTACTAAACAAATGACCAAATATCTCACAGATGTGTATGATCCATAATTTTATAGACTCCATACCCATATGAGATATTTGATCATTTATTTAGTAAAAAAAATTTGAAACCAATAACATTTTCCTTTTCAGAATTGGGTTTGATCTTGGTCAAAACGAAATTATCCAACTAGATGTATCGACTAATGTAACCCTTCACTTTTAGATATTAAAGTAAAGGAAACATATGAACTGTTGCTTTCAAATATATATCACCCTTTTACCATCAAATTTGAACTTGAAACCTGAATGGCTCTATTCAGTAAATTGAAAAACAAAAAAAAGTTCACATACTATGAACTTGAAGAATGTACCTCACAATCACACCAAATAACACTCAAACGTAGACAACAACTCGATTAACATACATTACCCCAGCAGCAACAGATGCTCTTCCTGTTCACGGTATAATTATGTACAAGCATAAGAAAGTAAAGAAAGAAATTCAAATTTTCTGCGGAAATAAAGCGGTGCCAAGATACAACTTGTAGGGTAGAAATTCATCCTTGCAATTTTGTTCAAGTGGTAAGGTAACAAATAAGTACATTCAAATCTCCAATGTAATCATGTGGCTCTAAACTTATGCAGACAATTACCAGTTCTCAGAAAAACCGTCATATTATTGAACTGGCTCTTGCTGGGGAGTCACCGCAGGTCCTGGTGTCACTGCAGATCCCGGTGCAATTGTGAAATGCAAACCCCTACGTTGCCCTGCCTGTATCATGAAGGCAACTTCTGTTGCTGCGAGTGCTGCTGCAGCTTCCTGATTCAACAAAATACATACAAATGAATTAATCACAAAATTTGAGTAGATGATATTAAATAAGTTTCCTTTTTCTTTCTTTTTCTGGTACACCATTAAGAACTTCACCACATCATTCTTTTACTATAAACCAAATACATGAAGTAACTGGATAGAAGGCGGAATAAAGGGCAAGCAAAAAATAAATCCATGTTTTTATGATTGTAAGGGAAACTCCAGCTAGACAAAATTGATAACCAATTTAGGGTTCATGATTATTAAGCTTAATAAAGTGAATCTTATGGTTCATGATTCGATACAATTCACAAATCACTATTTTAACAAAACAATTCATGATTCAATACATGATTTGATAACAATGGGTGCAAGTATGTGTCTAAGTGACTGATTCATCTAGCTCCCATGTCTACGGACGCAGGGACACAAATAAGGGTCCGTTTGGATAGATGTGGATTTCAAATCAAAGGAGTAAAAGGTTAAATGGATAGAAAAATTGGAAGAAGATAAATTGAGAAAGAAAGAGAATATTTAGCATCATTTCAAATGACTATTATATAGTTGTTTCAAATCCATCATCACAAAGCTATTCAATTCAATCTTAAAATTCATAGGTAAACTATCATATCTAAATTTGAGTTATTCTCTTGAATGATTAAAGTCAAATTCCTTGATTTGAAATCCATATCCATCCAAATGGACACAAAATATTAATATATTTTTAATGTAATTCTTTTATTATATAATACTAGAATTTAATGCATAATTTTTATGGTAAACTCAAATTACATAATATGTTTGATATGGTAAACTCAAATTACAAAATATGTTTGATAGATGAAAATGTCCAACTACATATGTCAAACAGAGGAACACCCTTACCCAATTAAACTCGAATTACCCAAGTATTCTAGTGTTTGGCTCTGGTACTTAATACATTTAGAAAAGTACAAGTAACATAGATTTAGGGTTTCTATGTCCATTTTTTAAATGTCAAGGAAGAATATATTATAATTTTTAAATAATTTTATAATCAGTGAAATTTGGAATCTAATCTCTGATTATGAAGGCAATATCTTCCCAATTAAATGGCATAATCACTTATATATAGCTCTATTGTATAAGATTTGCCAAAATTAATTTATTTTATTTTTTCATATATACGGTTATTTAACATCATATTTTATAATATGTACCGTATCTTACAATTTTTCAATTCGATTCACAGTCTGTAAAATTAAAATTTCGATTCATAATACGATTCTCTATGTCGCCAAGTAATCTATTTATACAGCATCATACATTTAGTGAACTGAAATGATGTACAAGATAATTACCATTGCACCAGAGGTCCAATGGTAATTATGGAATGTTTAGTGAACCGAAATGGTGTCCAAAATAATTACCATTGCACATTGAATAGACATGCTGCCAATGGCTACCCTTTTCTTTTTTATTTTTCATAATAATATCAGGACATTTTCCTTGACAAATATGCAAATGCATGTAGATATGTATATGTGTACACACTACACAAAATAAAATAGCAATAACAACAATATATATAACCACCACCATTTCTAAATCCAAAGGTTTCATTCGTTACAAGCTGTAATTCACTTAGTTACGCAAGCTACAACTGTTTCCTTACTAATTGTTATGAGTAATTCTTAACTAAAAAGACAAATATACCTTTTTTTTAGACGTCTCCAATATGATTTTCCAACAAGAGGAGAAGCATTTAGCTTCTATAACCAGCCCCATAGTAACTCACCATTATAGCATCATGAAAATTTTTATTTTATTTTATTTTATTTCCTGGATTAGACAAGATGGAGCTCATAGAAAAAAATGAAACAAGTCACCAAGAAGTCTCTACTAACCTGTCTTTGCCTTCGACGCTGCAAAATACTGATAGCCCAGGCCATAATGTAGCATGGGAGAAGAAAGCCAGCAGCCCGCAGCAAGAAAAGCTGTTCAGAATCAACAAATTTTCTTTTGTGTAAACACAACAAAGCACATATCATCTTCAAAGCAGGCATAAATGCTAAGACATACTGAAAATATATCAACTTACAGAGAAATAGGTGGAAGCATCATCATCATCACCATTGCTGATGGATAGAGCATGCCTCAAAAGTAGAAGAGCCATTAACTGCCAAGAAATGGAGAAAGTTTCAAAGCATAATCATGCTGGCACCCAAGTCCAAAGGACTATGAACTCACTACCCGAATCAGGCTACAGATAATTAGATACTGCCCAAGAAAAACCAATTTATTGAAGGAAAATAAAAAAGAGGCAAAAAAATGGGGAAAAGGTCTGAGAAGCCAGACAAGCTCTCAGAACATCCCAGATAAGGTCATGCAAAAGGTTGAAGATTTTGAAAGGAAATGCTCTCTTCAGGGCTCATAAGTAGATTCATATAGACATTTGAACATCAGGCCATGTAACCTTATGTTACACTTCACAGGGACATCTGCTACATTATTTAAGTCTCCAAATCACTTACTAGATAAGATGGTCAGTTGCAGCACCACAAGTTACTTTCCTTCTTGCCAATAATAATCATAACAATGACACCATCATGCATATATTTAGGCCAAGTTTGGCAATCCAAAAATAATCCATCTTTTTATCTTTTTATCTTTTTTCTATCACATCACCTCTCTACTTTTCTGCACATCTTTTCGTAAAAAGACAAAAAGTACACTTATTTAAGTCATCCCAAACAACCCCTTAATTTATACATTTCATAGTGGCATACAGTTATTACTAGTCATGCACAAGATGGTTACAATATCTTACAATCAGAGCAGCAGAGCGGCAAAAGGCGGCTCCATTTGAATTGGTATCAGCATATTCATCATATTCAGCCTCCAGAAGATGTCGTTCCGCTGCTGCCATAGCCAAAAGTCGTGGGTCATGCAAGTCTAAAGGCGTACCAGAGAGTGTCCAACCGCTACTGTGAGACAAAACCATGAAACAATATAATCAAGATTCAAGCATATGAATTTACAATATACATCCAGATGGTGAAAGTTCCAACATTATTATGCAGGGTATTTTTTATTTTTTATTCTTAAGAAAAAGAAGCAAAATACATAAGTGGACTAATGATTCTAGAACAATTTGTTGTTTCAAGAATGGGTCGAATTGGAGGGAAAATTTTGTTAGAAATAAACTTGGCCACACAACAACCGCTCACACAAATTTGGAATTGCATTTCACTCATATCTCAAATGACCAACTTACAAGGCTACATATAATACTCAATAACCAAAATCTTAACATTCTAACATAATGACTATTCATACTTCATAAAATGGCTCATTTAAACAATTTCTTTGTAACATTCAACCAAATGGCACACCATTAATACCATCCCATTAACACACCGCTAATACTAAATTATTCCTCCATAACTTGTGAAATAAACACCATACAAACTCATACATATTTTCCATTATTTAATAAAATTCTTAAATTTCATGCAATATTAAACAAAATCTTTAAATTATTAAATCATTTAATGAAAAAAAAAACTTGATTTTTATTAACTACTTGCAAACTCCGTCAACTCTTCTTGAGGCATGTGAAGTTTCTTCAACAAATTTTTGAGCCAAATAGCTTGACAAAAACAAGATGTCGCAGCAATAAACTCAGCTTCACATGTAGAAAGTGTGACAATGGGTTGTTTCTTTGAACTCTCCATGCAAAAGCCGTATCACCCATATAAAAAAAACAAATTCCATAGTACTTTTTCTATCATCCAAATCGCCAGACCAGTTGCTATCACAATAACCCACAAGTTTGGAAGAGAAAGAAGGAAGGCAAGAACATAGTCAAAGGGGTCGAGGACGTGGACATGCAAGTCGTGGTGGCCGTGGCCGTGGCCGAGGCTATGGAAGAGGTGAAAGCTAAGAAAGCATGGACACGGACACGACACATTAATTTTAAATAATGCAGGACACGATACGTGGGGAACAAGTATGAAATATATAATTTCATATATTTATTATATGTTATATATATGAATATATTATTCAAAGAAATTAAAAAAATGCAATATGACACTAATTCTTATAAATGTATATGGTTTTTGTTTTATTATTGTATCTTAAGTTAATTTGTTCAAACTTATAATTAGTTTCACATATGTCTAATTGATAGAAACGTGTGTTAAGCGATTGACATGTGTGTCCTCCAAGTGTCCAAAGAATGTCCGGGTCTTTAAAAAAAATTTTAAAATAAGACAAGTTTTGAAGAGTGTCTGTGTCCGATACGGACACGATGCGAATACGTCAGCTTCTTAGAAGTGTTCATGCTTCTTAGGGTGAAAGCAATGGCTGAAACCTAAGAGGGAGAGGTAAAGGTCAACACTCAAACCGTTCAACAGGACGTGGAAGAGGCAACAATTCAAGACCATATGGAAGAAGCTATGACAAATCTGATGTTCAATGTTACAATTATAATATGGACATTATGCTTCGGAGTATAGAAATGATGGTGTTGAAGAGAACTGAAGAAGAATAATATAACTCTTGTATTTCACTCGTATCTCAAATGACCAATACAAGGCTATATATATATATATAATACTCCATAACCAAACTCTTTACATAAACATAATGACTATTCATACTAATATAATGGCTCGCTTAAACAATTTCTTTGTGACATTCAACCTAATAACATACTACCCAGCAAGCACGAACACGGACACGGACATAGATACAGATACGGATACAGACACGGACATGGGACACAGCAATTTCCAAAAAATGGGGGCACGGACACGGTGGGGGACATGGCAAATTTTATTTTATTTATTTTTTATATATTTTTATGTGTTATGTAGATTCATATTACATTCATCCTAAATCAAAATTAACAAACACCAACATAGTAGCATTAATTTAATAAATATAACCACTATATTTAAACAAATTAATAGATCATCCATTCACAAAAAAGTCATAATAAACGATAACAAGAACTAAGACGAGAAGGAGAAAATTTCAACATCCAACAATATTCTTCACAAAAGCACTAAATAAGAGAGGCAGAAAAAAAAAACAAAAAATTTAGCCCCGCCGTGTCCCCATATGGACAGGCGTGTCCCTTACAAAAAAATCATTAAATTAAAGGGACAAACCATCTGGCATGTCCCATACGTGTCCCCACGTCAGACACCACCATGGCACTGATTTTGGAGTGTCCATGCTTCATAGCACACCACTAATAACATCCCATTAACACATCACTAATACTACATTATTCCTCCATAACTTATGAAATAAACACCATAGTAATCACCAGCACGAAAAACATAACTCTCATAGAGTTACAAAAGCAGCTATACTTTACGGTTAAAAAATGTCTAGCAACAGTTGTGTAATATGAATAGCCAAGAAAAAGGGAGTTAAGATGAATGAGGAACAACTAAAAGGAAGAATAGAATAAGGAATAAATCATTTAAGAGAATCAAAAGGTGAAACCAATTGACAAATATGCCAAATGAAGTTGTCTAATTTCGTTTAGCGATGGGTAAAAGGACCACTAAGTGCACCACGAAGTGACTTGACTTGACAAGAGGAAGCAAAAAAGGGCAAGTAGAAGAGACATGATGGCCTTTCAAACAAAATATGGTCCTAGGAAGAGAAAAATGGAGAATGCAATGTGTAGCAACTTGACTTCATTGCCGATGTTGTCATGAGATAACAAATATAGGAGGATCATGCCACATATACAATGTTTCTTACATAGTGAACCCCGACACACCTAGAATCATTTGACACAATGATTTCCAAATCCAACAAAGCCTTAAGTCCCATCAAATGGGGTTGACTACATAAATCCTTCTTCTCCACTCAACTCTATCATCGGTTATATGGTTAGTCAAATTAAAGAGATTCATATCTCTATTTACTACACTTATCCACTTCAATCTAGGTTTTTCCTTTCCCCTAACACTTCCATATACCATTACTGTACCACATCTCTTCACTACTGTCTCTGTTGACCTCCGTTGTATATGACCATACCATCTCAATCTATTCTCTTAACTTATCTTCTACCGGTGTCACTCATACCCATTCGCGAATATACTCATTCTTAATTCTGTCTTTTCTAGTCTTCCCACACATCCACCTTAGCATCTTCATCTCAGTAATACTCATCTTATCTATATGTTATTTCTTAGTTGTGCAACATTCCGTCACATACAATTTCGCTAGTCTAATAGCCATTCTATATAACTTTCTTTTTAGTCTAGTGGGCACTCGTTTATTACACAGTACCCCAAACGCACACCTCCACTTAAGCCATCCTACCTTAATTCTATGCACCACATCCGTTCTAATCTCCCCAACCGTTGTGATAATCAATCCTAAATAACGAAAATATTCACTCTTAGGTAGTTCTTGGTTCTCAATCTTCACTTCTCCTCTGCTTCCATTGTTACTGTTACTAAAATTACACTCCATGTATTCTGTCTTAGTTCTACTTATTCTAAATGCTTTAGATTCAAGCAGTTCTCTCCACGTCTTCAACTTAGTGTTAACTCATTCTCTAGTCTCATCCACTAACGCGATATCATCTGCAAAAAACATACACAATGGCACATTATCCTGAATATTTCTCGTCAACTTGTCTATAATTAAAGTAAAAAGATAAGGACTTAAAATTGATCCTTGATATAACCCACAGTATTTGAAAATTCAAAAAAATTACAAAAGCAAAGTACATAGAAAAGACTACTGAACTTGAAGTGGATATGAAGAATGCAACATGAAAAAAATAAGAAATAAATATAAGAGAAACCAAAGCAAAGCCCTAGTTGCATTCCCAGGAATATGAACATGGTCAAACCTCTCAAAAGTTTCTACATGATGAATTTTTTATTTATTGTTAAAATCCACCTACTCTCCACCTACTTCACCCACTTAAACCCGTAGCCATTGTTTCAGAATTAATAATTGGTCCCTATAATAAAATTAATAAACATACATTATTAAAATTATATCCTCAAATAATAGAAAAGAAAAAATAAAATCAGAATATAAAAAAAATAAAAGAAAAGAAAAAATAAAATAAAACAAAATCAGAATCAGAATTAAAGAAAAAGAAAAGAAAAAATTAAATTAATAAAACAAAAAAAATAAAAGAAAAAAAATCAAAATCAAAATCAAAATCAAAATAAAAGGAAAAGGAAAAAAAAATGAAATAAACGAAGAAAGAAAGAGAAGAGGCTGAGACAGAGAGGGAGAGAGAGCTATCGAAGAGAGAGAAATAAAAGAAAGAAGAGGCTGAGACAGAGAGAGAGAGGGCTATCGAAGAGAGAGGGAGCGATCGAAGAAGATCGAAGAGTCGTACCTGCAAATCGACTGAAGATCGAAGATCGCCGACTGACGACAGACGGCCAACGACAGACGAGAGACGACAGACGACCGACGTCCGACGTGGAGCAACGATCGAAAAACTAAAGCAGGCATCACTACTCTGGCTCCATGGTTTCACAGAAGCTCTCTTTCTCCACATCCATTGTACATATTCAGCTTTATTATAAGCAGCATGTGGTACAATGACATTGCTAAGTATGGTTTTCTTGCGAATGCAAAATCTGGAAATACTGTTACTGAGCTATCGAGCTCGCCGAAAGCAACTTAGACGGATAAACCTACTGATTCAAATTGACCCCAAAATTTTTCATTAAACTGTGAAATTGCCCCCGCGCGTGTCCCAAACGTGTCTATAACGTGTCCAAAACGTGTCCGGATGTAAAAAAATTAAAAAAAATTGGGACACTCTCTCATGCGTGTCGGACACGTGTCCACTGCGTGTCCGACGCGTGTCCGTGTCCGACACGTGTCTGACACTGGTACGGAGCCCTCGGAGAGGTGTCCGTGCTTCATAGAATACAGAGAATGATGAGTTTGTGTCGAGTGTCAACTATGGGCATGATATATTGATTCCTGCAACCATGCATGACTGGTTGTATTCTGGCTATTTTCTTTTTCTCTCCTCTTGTGAGCTATGGGGTCATGGCTATACTCCATATGCAGCAACAAGATGGCCACGCCGCCCCTCCTCCTCCATCACCGGCGGTTGCGCCGCTCTTAACACAGACATCGTGGTCTCCCGACGCCTACCGCGACGAGGCGTGGCTGAGGCGGAAGGGAAACCACGACAGCCGCAGACGGCGGAGTATTGACCTAGGGTTCGGGTTCGCATCGCCGGAGATCGATCAACGGTTGTCCGATACTTTGCCTGCTTTAGGGCTCTATTACACTGTTCATAAGCAGTTTCATGAGAATTCGAAGTCCTCCACGACGGCGTCCGAGTGTGACTCGCCGTCGTCTTCTGTTGGTAACCACTCCATATTCGATCCCGGTGATAATCCTCAGACGGTGAAGACAAGGTTGCGACAATGGGCCCAAGTGGTGGCTTGTTCGGTGCGTCAATCTTCTAGCTGATCCAGATCATCTCATCAATGGCTTCAATCAAAGCAATCCAACCATGGTTTATTTATTAAACCACCAACCCCACTCAACTTTCTCTTATTTTAATATATATATATATATATATAGTCAATCTTCTAGCTGATCCAGATCATCTCATCAATGGCTTCAATCAAAGCAATCCAACCATGGTTTATTTATTAAAAACAAAAAATAAAAAAAAAATAAAATAATAATAATAATAATAATCATCATTAAAAGGCCACCCCATTCATTTTCTTATTATTCTTAGAGCACTGACTTGCACCCTCCTCGGGCCACCAACTTCACTTTTCTAATTATTATTATATATACTTTTTCATTCTCAAATATTCTCCCCCAAAATCATCATCACATTTTCCACCATTCTTTATCTTATATATATATCTATATATATATTTTTTTCTTCTTTCCACCGCCCAACTTTTCTTGAACTTCAACTTTTTATCTTTTCCTTGTTTTTTTTTTTTTTTTTTTTTAACAAAAACAAAAACAAAAACAAAAACAAAAAAAACCCTATTATTCATTCCATCTGATTTTTCTGCTTAGTCTTGTTCCTTTAAGCCATACGGATTTGCACCATAAACTCATTTTATTCATATCGGGCCTTTGCCCTGATCCCCATTTTACACCACCAAAACAACACCCAAAAAAAAAAACAAACAAACAAACCAAAACAAAACAACCACATCCACAGTGGGATTTTCCCTTCTCTACTCTGCCGCCTCCGTCCTGGACGGCCCTTGACGGTGTTGCCTCCGTGTTTCCCGTGCCGCCAAGCCAGTTGCCTCCTCCCTGCTCCTCCACTACAGCATATGGCGAACCTCCAAATCGGAACATCACGGTGGCCTTCCGCTTCAGCTCCTTGTTTTCTGTCTTTAGCACATTTATCTCTGCTCGCGCATCCTTATACATGCGTTGGAGCAGAGAATGACTCACTTAAACAATTTCTTTGTAACATTCAACCTAATAACACACTACCTAGGAAGTACAGACACGGACATAGATACAGATACGGATACAGACACGGACATGGGACACAGCAATTTCCAAAAAATGGGGACACGGACACGGTGGGGGACATGGCAAATTTTATTTTATTTATTTTTATATATTTTTATGTGTTATGTAGATTCATATTACATTCATCCTAAATCAAAATTAACAAACACTAACATAGTAGCATTAATTCAATAAATATAACCACTATATTTAAACAAATTAATAGATCATCCATTCACAAAAAAGTCATAATAAACGATAACAAGAACTAAGACGAGAAGGAGAAAATTTCAACATCCAACAATATTCTTCACAAAAGCACTAAATAAGAGAGGCAGAAGAAAAAAAAAAAAAAAAAAAAATTTAGCCCCGCCGTGTCCCTTACAAAAAAATCATTAAATTAAAAAGACAAGCCATCTGGCATGTCCCGTACGTGTCCCCATGTCAGACACCGCCATGGCACTGATTTTGAAGTGTCCATGCTTCATAGCACACCACTAATAACATCCCATTAACACATCACTAATACTACATTATTCCTCCATAACTTATGAAATAAACACCATAGTAATCACCAGCACGAAAAACATAACTCTCATAGAGTTACAAAAGCAGCTATACTTTACGGTTAAAAAATGTCTAGCAACAGTTGTGTAATATGAATAGCCAAGAAAAAGGGAGTTAAGATGAATGAGGAACAACTAAAATGAAGAATAGAATAAGGAATAAATCATTTAAGAGAATCAAAAGGTGAAACCAATTAACAAATATGCCAAATGAAGTTGTCTAATTTCGTTTAGCGATGGGTAAAAGGACCACTAAGTGCACCACGAAGTGACTTGACTTGACAAGAGGAAGCAAAAAAGGGCAAGTAGAAGAGACATGATGGCCTTTCAAACAAAATATGGTCCTAGGAAGAGAAAAATGGAGAATGCAATGTGTAGCAACTTGACTTCATTGCCGATGTTGTCATGAGATAACAAATATAGGAGGATCATGCCACATATACAATGTTTCTTACATAGTGAACCCCGACACACCTAGAATCATTTGACACAATGATTTCCAAATCAAACAAAGCCTTAAGTCCCATCAAACGGAGTTGACTACATAAATCCTTCTTCTCCACTCAACTCTATCATCAGTTATATGGTTAGTCAAATTAAAGAGATTCATATCTCTATTTACTATACTTATCCACTTCAATCTAGGTTTTTCCTTTCCCCTAACACTTCCACATACCATTACTGTACCACATCTCTTCACTACTATCTCTGTTGACCTCCGTTGTATATGACCATACCATCTCAATTTATTCTCTTAACTTATCTTCTACTGGTGTCACTCATACCCATTCGCGAATATACTCATTCTTAATCCTGTCTTTTCTAGTCTTCCCACACATTCACCTTAGCATCCTCATCTCAGTAATACTCATCTTATCTATATGTTATTTCTTAGTTGTGCAACATTCCGTCTCATACAATTTCGCTAGTCTAATAGCCATTCTATATAACTTTCTTTTTAGTCTAGTGGGTACTCGTTTATTACACAGTACCCCAAACACACACCTCCACTTAGGCCCCGTTTGGGGACTTACTTTTATAGTCAAAAAGCCAAAAAGTTACCCTTTTAGCCAAAAAGCCAACAACTCATACCAAAAAGTCAAAGATTCTCTTTTCTCTCTACTTTTTGCACATCTTTTCGTAATTAGCCAAAAAGTCATCCCAAACATATAAGTTTTTTTTACCTACTTTTTTAGCCAAATAGTCAAAAAATTACTAAATTAGCCTGTTCCCAAACGAGGCTTTAAGCCATCCTACCTTAATTCTATGGACCACATTCGTTCTAATCTCCCCAACCGTTGTGATAATCAATCCTAAATAACGAAAATGTTCACTCTTAGGTAGTTCTTGGTTCTCAATCTTCACTTCTCCTCTGCTTCCATTGTTACTGTTACTAAAATTACACTCCATGTACTCTGTCTTAGTTCTAGTTATTCTAAATGCTTTAGATTCAAGCCTTTCTCTCCACGTTTTCAACTTAGTGTTAACTCCTTCTCTAGTCTCATCTACTAACGCGATATCATCTGCAAAAAACATACACAATGGCACATTATCCTGAATATTTCTCGTCAACTCGTCCATAATTAAAGTATAAAGATAAGGACTTAAAATTGATCCTTGATATAACCCCACAGTATTTGAAAATTCAAAAAAATTGCAAAAGCAAAGAACATAGAAAAGACTACTGAACTTGAAGTGTATATGAAGAATGCAACATGAAAAAATAAGAAATAAATATAAGAGAAACCAAAGCAAAGCCCTAGTTGCATTCCCAGAAATATGAACATGGTCAAACCTCTCAAAAGTTTCTACATGATGAATTTTTTATTTATATTTCCCATAAGAGACACCTTAGGCACAAAAAAGCTCCCAATGTCTATTCAACTAGGTAAGTACTAGCCTAAATGTATGCAAGATTGATGATTCCCTCATCTAAAGTGATTCTTCATTACTACATGTGAGAATGTGATTTCTTTCAAATAATAATAAACAATCTTAATCCTTATACACCCGTGAATCTAATGTAGAAATGGTTCTTTTGCATTTTCTATTCCAAAACAAGTAAACAAAAGGATTTTTCAAAAAATTATTGATTATTAGAAAAGGCCAGCCAGTCTGGTCCCCTTAATCAAGGGTATTACATATGTGTTAGATTAACACCGGATCTCCAATTTATTTATTTTTGATAACTCGGTAACTAATCCGAGAGATCAATCCCGCCACCCATTTGCAATGGGCTGTGGGCCGTGGGCGGTGATCAAGGCCTGGGGCGGTAGTCAAGGCCTAGGGCTTAAAGACAGGGCAAAGCCCTGTATAGATTAGCCCCAAGAAATTGTTTGCACCTTAGTTGCAGGAATCGTGCAACCAGGTGGCGATTCTGAGTAAGAATCGCGATTCCGCGCTTCCTATAAAGAGGCGTGTAAGAATCGCGTTTCTGTGGAGAGAGAAACGCGATTCAGTCAACAATGGGATCGTAAAGGGGAGAGAGAGAGAGAGAGAGAGAGAGAAACCTGTCTCGCCGTCAATCTGTTACATGGATTCGCTGGTTTAGGGCATGGGTTTCTCGGACACGTCGTCGATCTGTTACATAGCCTTCGATCTGGTCACGATCTCCTCTTCACTCTCTGTCTTCATCTCTCTCGATCTCCTCTTCTGTCACTCAGTCTTCTCTTCTTCAGCATCTCTTCGCCATCGTCTTCTTCTTCTTCTTCTTCTTCTTCTTCTTCGTTGTCGTCTTCGTCTTCTTCTTCTTCTTCTCTCTCTCTCTCTCTCTCTCTCTCATCGATCTCATCTACCAGTTCAAAACCCTAAAGAAATTCTCATTCTTCACCGTCATCATGTTCCTCCCATTTTCTCTTCCTCAAAACAAGCCTTCCTCATCACCATTACTCAAAATTTGAGCCAAAGTTGGCTTATCCTCTCTCATTCTCACAATCATGTCCCTCTTCCTCACTTCCTCCTCCTTCCTCGTACTTTTCGTCCTCGCCACCGCCTCTGCCGCCGCATTTCCTGGAGTAGCCGCCTCGACTTTCACCATCTTCGACATATATATATATATATATATCAATTAAAAATAAAAAAATAAATTAACAATAACATATTATTTAAAAAAATATAAAAAATAAATAAACTAATTAATTTGTATTATAAAAAATATTTATAAAAAAACTTCTAATGTGTATTAAAAATATATATATATATATATTACCGCTCCCTGAGGCGCTCCCAACCTAAGAAACTTCTATCAACTCACGCTTCTGCAGCTAGGAAGTTTCAAGACCTTGGAGGGAGCACACTCCCAAACCCCAGGCCTTGCCCACTAGGCCAACATCTTGAAAATCTAGAACTCCAATTTATTGACACAAAGTAGTTGAACCTTGGGCTCAAATTCGTGTTTTCATGCTTGTTATTGTACAAAAATGTTAGTATTAAAAATTTTCATATACCTGTAGATCTAATGTAGAATATATTCGATATACATTTCTCCAATATCAAACAAAACAATATATTTTTTGTTTTTTCAAAAATAAAAATGGTTTATGAGAAATAAGTTGGTTCTATCAATACATGGTATACAGGTTAGCTAGCTTACTCACAATAAGTTGTTGCCTTTAGGCTCAAATTTGCAATTTTTGCGTTTTGTCAGCTTAGTTTTTAGCCATTGCATGAAGCAACCCCTAGAAAGGTTATTAGTCGTTCTTCGAAACTCATTGTCAAGTAGTGAGATTATAGTTATGAAACAAGAAACTAAATTCAGTTGTCAAGAAATTAATTGACTATTTATCACAATTTACTACTTATACGAGGGTTGATGCGATAAAAAATCATTAGCTGAAAAAGTGCATAAAAGCTTAAACTTGCCTGATATCAATTGTAGTATCTTCAGTGTGAGGAGCAGGTGGTGGGGCAGTATAACCAGGTTGGTAAGGCTGTATATGTCAGAGAACATTTTTTCAGTAAGTTAATGTATTAATTGATTAATCAACTTATAAAAATAATAAAATTATCTGGAAGAAATTTAACTGAATATGTTTTTAGGGACTTCACAAAAACATCAAACTTGATATTTTACATGGACGCAGGAACACACCTAACAACAAATTTTAAGATGGCAAGACTCAAACATGTACAGAAAAACATCCAATTAACAGAAACAAAGTATGAGGACAATTTATGTGGTTTTCTAAAAAAACAATCCAAATCTATATTTAATGCATTTTTTTTTTTTTTTTGAGATTCAGAGGTGTGAAGGAAGCAAAACAAGAGATTTATATGTACTAACCAACTGATATGAATCCCTAGCGTCAAGCATGCCTAGAGCCAAATCAACAAGACGTGAAGAAAACATATGAATCAATTTCATATTTGGGCACAACCTATTGTAATTATCATACCACAATATAGCTTATAAACCACCAAGACTACGATGCTAGTTTTTGAAACCAAACAAGCAAAATATTTCATGTGTATAAAAAAATAATATATCTATCTCTCAAATATAGAAAGAATTCATGCAATTGCAATGGTATATAAAATCAAAAATCAAAAATCAAAAGTCAAAAATCAAAAAAAATAAATAAGAGAAAATGAAGGTAGCAGCAACAAGGGCCACAGAATGAAGCAGCAGTAACAATACCTGGTGACAGATCTCACAAGTTATATCTCCTTTCTCATTGCACCATCGCTGCACACACTTCCTATGAGCAAACTGGACAAAACAAAGTGGTTAACCATTATTTTTTCAATAAATAAGCTAAAAACCATAATCAGAGATGTTCACAGAATAAGGAAACTCATACCATGAGTTTATAAAACCTAGAGGTGATCATGACAAAATTCCAAATAAATAGATACATAGATGTAGGATCAAATCACACCTCCAAAACTTTTTTGTAGGAATCACTCAGCACTAATGAGAGGGGGGTCAATCTTATGTCAAGCCAACAATTGGATTGAACATAACTCCCTTGCCTATTGAGCATGCCAAAAATCAAGTTGAATGGAGATTTGGTGCTATTCCATCAAAACCAACACTCTAAAGTCTAAAGTAGAAAAGGTGAGCATGTCTACCCATATTCATTAATGTTGATATTTGGCATCCATGACAAGCAGGACACAGGTAATCTAATCAACTCTGGGCTAGGCAAACTAAAATCTGACTTGGAAAGCTTGTTTTCACAGAACAATGCATATATCCATATGATGTATAACAACATAAGGAACATAATGCATACATAACATAGAGAGAGGGGAAATTATATATATATATATATGTATAACATGGATAGAGAACCTACTTCAACCAATCTGCATACATAAAATAAGGAACAAATACAAACATGCATGCGTATGTTTCACAATTTAATATATACAAAAAATTATAAGGTTGATTACAAGATATTGTCGATGAATAACTTCGAAGGTCTTGTCATTTATAAACCAAGAACAAGGGATGCATCCAACATAAACTTTTGCGTAAAGTTTTCAATCACGCTCACACTGCTATAAAATAAGGACAAGGAACAAATCAACATAAACTTTGTAAAGTTTTTCAATCGTATTCAAACACACTTCACACTGTTAAAAACAAATAGCCATGGTACTAGCACATGGCCATGTTCTCTTTCTGTTTTTCCTTAAAGCAAAGTGCACTGATCAAGTAAAGTAAATTCTCCCCACAGTTCAACACACTCCTATCAACTAGGGAATAGACTAATGCAACATATTGAGCTGACTCTCACTACATAAATATAAAAAATCAAGTCTTTAAATTTAGAAAGGAGGAACATGACTTGTTAGTATGGTGCACATTAGGCTTATCTTGCCTCGGCCTTGGCAATGGCCAAGCAATTAAGGCAAATTAAATGTAAACCAAATGAAAATAGTAAAAAGTTCAAGTACTTGAATATGCATCCAAACCCCAAAAAAGGAGGACCATATAATTGTTTGCACCACGCATGAGTTGATAGTAATCATGCCCATAGAAGAATTCACACATAAGACAGTCAAAACTAACAAAAAATTGGTGAGGCTCAAACAATATATGTAAGTAAATACATAACACATAGTACAGGCTAACACACAAAATTGGCATCTAAAAACATCAAATGAAGATACCTTCAGGCTGCCACTACAAGCACAAGGAAACTCCATATTTTGGATGCTATCCTCCTCCTGGCAAATGCGGCACTCCACTGCTTGAATAAGTGGTTCTTGTTCATCATCTCCACCATGTTCCACCACATCCTTGATATCAATGGAGGTGGAGGAATCAATTGTGTGAGAGCAAGAACCCTCTCCAGAAGATCCTGAGACCTCATCCCCTTGTAGTGAATGCAATGATTCGGGTTTAACAAGATGGTCAACGCATAAAACCATGTGGTCCCCCATCACTATTCTTGACACTGAAAATCCTGATTCACCACAAATACCATTCTTTACCCATTTAAACCCAAACAATCTGGATAGCCACGAATTACATGCATAAGATATGCTTAATTAATTGTAAAACAGATAATTAAAAAAAGAAAAGAACAGAGACTCTTGAACTTTAACCTGTTGTTTAATCTTAAAGAAGGCAAATGGAGGTACTAAGCTCAGTTAAGTAAAGGCATTTGTTTGCTCATATCTCGAACAATTAATTTTTTTTGATAATCAGAGCTTTGTGAATAAAAAATAAAAATAAATAAAATAAATCGAAAATACTAATTTCTTTTCATCTCTTGCCTATTCCTAATTACCAAACTCGAATCTCATAAAAATCTGGAGTTGGAATTTGCTCCTCAGATATTCCAAATTACCCCTGAGGATCTGTTTGTTTGCCGAGAAAATACAGGGAAAATGTCGCTACCAACAAAAGTAAAGAATATTAAAAGCTTTCAGTTTTCATTTTCCTCCACTTTCTCTAATTTCTCAGCAACCAAACAGCACAAGAATAACGCAATTTACGAAAAAAAAAATCCCAAAATCTAAGCCAGAGCTCAAAGAGGACCAAATTTACAGTGTAGAAAAAGGAAACAAAAATAAGAAATACAAAACCCAAACCAGAATGCGGGTCATTAGATTCAACCTTACCCTATACAATTCACGATCAAAATCGAAATTTCAAACGAACACCTCTATTTGAGAACAGATTCAAAGCATGAGAACTGTGAAAATCGAATTGAAAAGTACCTGAAAATGCAAATTTGCGATGGCGAGAATGTTGAATGAGTCTTGAGAAAGTCGTGACCTTGTTTGTTCCTCAAAATTGATGACAGAGTCTAGAGCGTTGTGGGGTTGCTTTGCTTTGCCTTGGTTTGTTGTGTATAATATATATATATATATATACTTAGGTAGGCTCGGTCGAGTTGCACAATTTTTATTTTTTATTTTTTATTTTTTTTATTATTAAAATTTGATTTTTTTGATTTTAAAGTAGGGTTTGTTTGTTGAAAGAAAAATGAAAAATGCTTGGGAGCACTAATTAGTGCTCCCACTAATTAAGTGGCAGTGGGTCCCGCATGTGATGTTTTGGTCTTGGAGTTGTGTTTTTTTTTTTTTTTTTTTACTTTTTTAATGCATTATTATTGGTGCTTTCCCCTAAAATGATTATGTACCTTTATTATGATTTTAGTTATAAGTCCATATTTTTTAAATAATTTTGGATTTTTTTTTCAGTTGATTATTATTTCATTTTATAAAAATTGAATATACAATAGTCAAAAGTTAAGAGTATAACAACTATGCAAATAATCACTCTAATATCACTTTAAAAATAAAAATAAAAATAAGAAAGTAAATTATAAATACACTCTTGAGATTTACTTAAAATACGAATTGTTCCTTTTAGTTTGCAAAATTACAAATACTCCTTATTAGAATATTTTATTTTATTTAACAGAATTAATTAACAAATAAATTTTCTAACTGCTCTCATATACAATTATAAAATTACCTAAATTATTAATTCAAATAAAGTTATTTAACATAATTACTTTTAGAGATCAAAAAAATTAGTTTCTAAAACTCTTATATGTTGTAATGTCAGATGGTGAAAATATCATAAAATTATCAAATAATTAAATAAGTTAAAAACACAATAAATGGCTTGTCAAAAAATTCTTAGAATATGTTTGGTTTGATTTTTAGAAATTTATTTTTAAATTTTTTAAAAATAATTAAAAATTAATTTGGTTAAAAAATAAAAAAATAAAAAAATATATTTTTATATAATTTTATCTTTTGAGTGGTTAGAAATAATTTTTTAAATTAAATATATTTTTATATTTATTTTTATTAAATTAGTTATTATTTATTTTTTTAATTCTGAAATTTTTTTCTAAACAACAAATCAAACATAATTCTAAAAACTTAATTTTTTTTATCCAACATAATTCTTTTGTAAATTTTATTGATTTGTCAAAGAGATTTCAGTACGGACAATATCGTCGATCAATTTATATTTTGGTGATGTCAATTAATCATTCTTAACGTAACAATAGAGATTAAATTATTATGTGAATATAAATCTCATAAGAGGAAAATATAATTTCTAAAACTTCAAAAGAAAATCTATAATTTAGCTAAGGGGGTGTAGGTAATTTCCCATATATCTATCTATATCTATATCTATATTATTATAAAGTAAACACCCTTATGGTGTCTTAAAACCTTTGTTTCTTATGCTGTCACGTGTCTAGTTTTTTATTTGAAATTAAAAAAAAAAATTAGATAGATGAGAAGAAGGGATTTGAACATTGAACTTATGTCAAATGAATAAGATTCTTACCAGTTAACTAGCACACAATATATGATAAGTGTTTTATTTTATTTTTATTTATTTGAATCAGCTAGTATATATATATATATATGGGTTATTTGAATCAGCTAGTATATATATATATGATACACACGATGTGTGTGTAATTTAAATAAGTAGGAATAAAAAAAATAATGAAATTAATATTATAATGTGTATTTAGCTTAAGTGGTATGAGTCCTCGTACTTAAACCCATGGATGGTCATGGGTTCAAGCCTTGCCCATCTCTTTGTTTAACTTTTTTTTAAAAAATAAAAAATACTGCCACATGACATGAGTGGGTTCAAGCCTTGCCCATCTCTTTGTTTAACTTTTTTTTTAAAAATAAAAAATACTGCCACATGACATGAGCAGAGTAAAGCTTCAGGACACCAAAGTTCCTGTTCACTTTATAATATTACTAGTGGGTGGCACACACGATGTGTGTGCAATTCAAATAAGTAGGAATAAAAAAAAATAATAATGAAATTAATATTATAATGTGTACTTAGCTTAAGTGGTATGAGTCCTCGTACTTAAACCCATGGTCATGGGTTCAAGCCTTGCCCATCTCTTTGTTTAACTTTTTTTTAAAAAATAAAAAATAAAAATAAAAAATACTGCCACATGGCATGAGGAGAGTAAAGCTCAGGACACCAAAATTTCTGTTCACTTTATAATAGTATAGATAGATAGATATATGGGGATGTGGATACAGATAATACGGACATATACTGGGGGATGTGGATTAGATTTGGCGTGTCTTGACTCCGAGGCTCGGTGAACAGGAACCTCTTGCTACGTAGGCTCGGTAAAGTCCGTTTTACATCAAACTTTTGGGCATTTATGATTTTGGGTACCAAGAAATTATCTACCACATTAAGTATTCCCTCTTGAAAACTTCAACTCTTTAAAAATATATATAATTATTACTTTATTTTAAGGAAGAACTAGTCTATCGCTATACACGGGATAATTATAAATATTTATAATTGTTTTAGAATTTTTTTAATATAAAAATTATTTTTTTTAAATTTTTTATAAAAATAATTTAACAATCTTATCACTAATCGTAATGTATGGAAGAAGTTGAAAAGTGTGTTGTAGTAACTATACACGAGTTGCATCTATAATTATTTGTTTGAGGGGATTTTGACCAAAGCTCTCAAAATGCATGTAGAAATGCATGTGGATTGGAAAAAGTTAATAAATACTGATCAGAAAATTTTGACAAAATCAATAAATGCAGGCATGTGGATTGAAAAAAATTAATAAATGTTGGTTAGGGGATTTTGACCAAATCAATAAATGCTGAGTTTTTTTTTTAAGTAAAAAATTTAGAAAATTAAGATTGAGATATTGAAACTTTCACAAGGCTTGGAGGTTAGAAATCTCATTTTCCTTATATATTCACTAGCCTATCACTCGTGCTATGCACGGGATAATTATAGATAATTATATTTATTATAGATTTTTTTTAATATATAAATTATATTTTTTAAGATTTTTTATAAAAATGATTTAACAATCTTATCACTAACTATAGTGTATTGGAGAAGTTGAAAAAGATATTGCATTGTATCTATAATTATTTGTATGAGGGAATTTTAAATGCTGATCAAGAAATTTTGACCAAATCAATAAATGCAGACATGTGGAAAGACATGTGAATTGAAAAAAGTTAATAAATGCTCATCAGGAGATTTTGACCAAATCAATAAATGCTGAGTTTTTCTTCTTTTTTTTAATAAAAAATTTAGAAAATTCATATTGGGATATTGAAGCTTCCACAGGCCTTGGGGTTAAAAATCCTCTTTTGCTTAATATATAGTATAAATATAGATAGATGTGTTGGACTTTTCAAGAAATTTTTTTTTATGCTTGTTCTTAATGCATTAAAGTGTTATTATGAGGGATAATAATCATATGTGTTGGGACTTTTTAAGGAATTCATATGTGTTGGATTTTAAAGAAATTTTTTTTATGCTTGTTCTTAATGCATTAAAGTATTATTATGAGGGTAAGACTTGGGAGTTGAGAGAAGTCAATAAATGCTAAAAAAAAAATTTAAATCAAAAAATCAGGAAATTTAGATTGGGAGATTGGAACTCTCACAAGATTTGGGATTTAAAACCCTCTTTTGCTTAATATATAGTATAGATACTAGCATATCACCCGTGCTATGCACGAATTGTGTTTACAATTATCTATATATGTGAATTGTGAATTGTGATTTTTAATTTTTTTTAAATGTGTTCTTTTTTTCCTTTTTTATATTATATTAAAGTTTAATATTTTAATAATAATCATATGTGTTGGATTTTTCAATGAATTAAATATCTTTTTTTTATTATATTATATTAAAGTTTAATATTTTGATAATAATCATCTGTGTTGGACTTTTTAAGGAATTAAATGTATTTTTTTTTTTATATTATATTAAAGTTTAATATTTTGATAATAATCATATGTGTTGGACTTTTTAAGGAATTAAATGTATTTTTTTATGTGTAGACATGAATGCCCTCCTATTTTATTGTGTTTACAATTATCTATATATGTGAATTGTGATTTTTAAATGTTTTTTTTTTAAATGTCTTCTTTTTTTCTTTTTTATATTATATTAAAGTTTAATATTTTGATAATAATCATATGTGTTGGACTTTTCAAGAAATTAAATGTCTTTTTTTTATTATATTATATTAAAATTTAATATTTTGATAATAATCATATGTTTTGGACTTTTCAAGAAAAAATTTTTATGCTTGATCTTAATGCATTAAAGTATTATTATGATAGTAAGACTTTGGAGTTGAGAGAAGTTGCTAAATGCTAAGATTTTTTTTTTTAAATCAAAAAATTAGGAAATTTAAATTGAGAGATTGAAACTCGTACAAGACTTGGGATTAAAAATTTTTTTTTTGCTTAATATATAATATAGATTGCTGTTTAATTGGAGAGAAGAAAAAAAATTATAAAAATATGAAGTGGTGCAAAAGGAAGACTTTACACCCTTACCAATTTTTATTTGCACTTTATTGTAGGATTACTTGTATTTCCATGTGTTTATAATATTTTTTCTACTCTTCATTCCCTCGTATTTTAAAGTTAAATTAAAATATATTACCATATTACCTTTTTATTTATATATATTTATAATTATTGTTAAAGGATAGTTTTGAAACACTTTAAGTTTTATGTTTTAATTTTTTAAAATGGACAATTATTTTGTGACATCTGTAAAAACAAAAAACAAAAAACAAAAAAAAAAAAAAAAAAAAAAAAAAAAAAAAAAAAACAAAACAAATTTAAAAAAGGTGCTAAATGTCCCTATTTTTTTATTTTGGACCCTCCATTTTTTTATTACAATTTTGTCCTAAGATCAATGTCTAATTTGGTTCCCATCCATATCCTTCCAAGTCTAATCCTAATCCTAATTCTAATCCTAATCCCACCACCACTTCCACTCCTGCCAACTCCTCTGGCGACCAACCCACAACTATTTTCACTCTC